CACACACACACTCACACTCTCTCTCATTCACTCACTGTCTCTCTCTCTCTCACACTCTCCCCCACTCTCTCTCACACACACACTCTCTCTCACACACACACTCTCTCTCTCACACACACACACTCTCTCTCACACACACACACACACTCTCTCTCACACACACACACACTCTCTCTCACACACACACACACACACACTCTCTCTCACACACACACACACTCTCTCTCACACACACACACACACTCTCTCTCTCTCTCACAACCCCCCTCCCCCTCTCTCACACTCTCACTCTCTCTCTCACGCAGTCTTTCTCACCTCACTCTCTCACACACTTTCTTTCTCTCTCACACTCCCTCTCACACACTGTCTCTCACCTTCACATTCCCACTCTAACATTCTCCCTCCCTCCCACACTCCCTCCGACACTCCCTCCCTCCGACACTCCCTCCCTCTGACACTCCCTCACTCCCACACACCCGCTCTCCCTCACTCCCACACACCCGCTCTCCCTCACTCCCACACCTGCACTCGCCCGCTCCACACACACTCACCCTCATATTAAATCTCAAGGAAGCAAATGGCTGAGTGACAGAGAGAGGGGGAAAAGATGGGGGAGGTGATGAAGAAAGTGTGAGGTTTGAAATCTGCAACCAGGGCACTAGAGGCCAAAGCCACTTGATTGTGCAGGTTGAGGGGATTATGATAAAGTTTAACAGTGCAGGGAGAGAGAGACAGAATAAAATCACTTGCGGTGGTCCAATATCCAGCACAAAACCTGAGGATGGGATGTTAATGAGCGTTATGCAGGGACTGGAAGCACATTATCACATCCACGACAGGGGTAAGAACAGAGAATCCCCTCATCCAAAAGGCTCATGAGCGAGTGATTTTGTGCATGCTGGGGGGCCCTCAAAACGTCAGGGGAGGCGACACAACAATGCAGTTAAGGCACAGAGGTCCCTGGGGGCTGACCGTCACGATAACTGCAGTTTTAATGACCAGGGTAGATTGAAGCCCCCCCTACCTTTGTCATGAGGGTGCTGCGATATGAAATTGATGGGAGCTGGTCCCCAGGGCAGACAGAATGGCGGAGGGGGTCGAGCGAGAGAATGGCCATTCGTCTGCGGAGGCATCTCCGTCACATCCGACAGACAATGGCTTCACCTGTGGGGGCTCATGGCTCAAAGTGGACTTGGAGCCTTGTCACTATTGACCAGGAAAAGTCCTGCAAAACTTTTCTGTCCTTAATACACAGAATCAACAAAGTGACAGCGCCTGCTCCCTCGGCGCTGACCCTCCTACAGTGTGGCGCTCCCTCGGCGCTGACCCTCCGACAGCGCCCGCTCCCTCGGCGCTGACCCTCCGACAGCGCTCACTCCCTCGGCGCTGACCCTCCGATAGTGCTGCATTCACTCAATATCAGGACGTCCTGATTCTGAGATGAAAGACAGAAGTGGAAAGAGGGAGAAATAGAGAAAGAAGTTGAGGGGGGAATAGAGAAAGAGAGAGAGAGAGAGAAAGGGAGGGACAACAGAGAAATAAAGAGAGAGCGAAAGAGATGGAGGGAGAGTAGGGAAAGGGTGAGGGAGAGATAGACAGAGGGAGAGTAATACCCTCTGCGCTGTGCTGTTGCAATACTGTGCCCTGTACAAGGTGAGGTCAGCCCGATCTCGTGCTGACTGTCTGACTGTGTCCTTCGTTCGTTCGCCCACAGGTAACAACTCATCGTGAGGAAACGACAAACCTTCATCCCAGTCTCTCGGGGCTGCCCAGTGTCGTGTCTGCGGCCCTCGCTGCTGCTGCTCTCAACCAACCTACACAGGATGTGTGTCGAGGTAGGACCTGTACCGCACACCTCTGGCCCTGACCCTAACGTTGACCCTGACCCTAACGTTGACCCTGACCCTAACGTTGACCCTGACCCTAACACCGACCCTGATCATAACACCGACCCTGACCCTGACCATAACCCTGACCCTGACCATAATCCTGACCCTGACGTTGACCCTGACCATAACACTGACCCTGACCCTGACCCTAACCCTAACGCCGACGCTGACCCTAACGCCGACGCTGACCCTAACACCGACGCTGACCCTG